ATTCTAGCTTTCTTCCAATACTAGAGAGAATTTAGAGAGTTTCTTGAGAGTTGTTTTCTCCTTTTTATCAAGAGAGAATTATCATTGTTTTCTCCTTGGTAGATCGAGAGAGGTTGTAATTCCTATTTTCTCATAGTGAAATTCTTCTACCATTGCCCGTGGTTTTTACCCTATAAAATTTAGGGGTTTCCACGTAAATTTTGTGTCTCTTTTATCTTTAATTTTCATTTTCTCAAATTATCAGTTGCATTTTTGTTCTATCCGATAGCCGTCTTCCGCAACACAATAATCATGCACATCTGTGAGATAAATAAACAACATCAGCATATAAAAACGTGTGATGGAGTATTTTGCATTGCTGGGAAAAGAAAGTAGTTATAACTAACATATAAAGTATCATATGTAATACACCAAGAATGCTGCTAAAGTTGAGTAAAATGTTCATTGGAGAGATGGAGCAAAATGAAAATAATATCTTGACAGCACTCAAAAGAAATCATAAACATATTGCATGTTTTATAAGATAAACCAGATAGAAAAAGAAGAACTCACATAAACATATTGCATTTTCGCCTTGCAACTTGACAACACTGAACTCCCGTGAGAAAACCCATTATTTTACTTCTTCAGAAATAGACCTATATTTTTTTAGTGTCGCTTTAGTTCAAGTTTTCCATATTTTGATCAAACAGCTTTCCAATGATAAAGCCATACACATAATCGAAACCATAATTTAGCTTTTGGTGCTACATATTTAAATGTTTTTTAATTCCCAATTTAGATTTTAAAATTTTATATAAAAAAATATTTTTTATTTTGTCTACGGTCTTCTCTCCTTTGTTTTTAGAATATCCTACTTTATTTGGTTGCAGATACTCTATTATGATTAGATTCAAAGCAACTTTCATTAATACTGTTTGATTATTAATTAGAATTTCTGTAAATTTTATTCTACAACTCAGATGATATCGATTTCTTGTGTTAACGTTTATATCTATAAAGCTAAATAATTTCTTAGCTTCACTACAATTTCCAGATTCACAAAAAAATAATTATAATATGATATCATCGTAATTATAAATGTGATTATTTCAAAGTTAATACCGTACAAATTAAAATCATATGATGGACCGTCATTTTTCTCATACATGCATAAAACATGATTTCTTTTGAAAAAAAATATATTTGTTATCAATAATAGGGTAGGTGCTTAAATGATCTTAGCTGACACTTCTTCTCTCCTCTATGTTGTGGGTTCAATTAGGTGTGCTTAATGAGTTGAGTAGCTCATGAGTAACTCGAATTCGACTCGGTCAAAGCTCGATAAAAATTCGAGCTCGACTTGAGACCTTAACGAGTTGATTCGAGTAAAGTCAAACTCGGCTCGATAAGTTCGCAAGCAGCTCGCTAATTTTTTATATAATTTTTTCAGTAGTTATCTTAAAAAATTATTTCATTCAAAAAAAAATACTAATTTACTAATAGATAATAGAAAAAATGATAAATTACTAATCTATTAATTTTATAATAATAAAAAATACAAAATTATTAATTAGTATTTTACTACACTCAAAAATCAAACCATATTTATTATTTTAATGTATTTGTGGATTGTTACTTTAGAGTTTAAACTCTGAAATTGTTTCATACACTCTTTTATAATATTTTTGGTTAAATTTTTTAATTTATGTTTATATTAAGCTCTGTATAGTATTAGTAGGTTTTACCTATAATTAAGAAAATAAAGTAAAAATTTTGGTGTGCTTAAAGAGTACCGAGCTTAACGAGCAATGAGTCGAGCAACAAGTTTTTTAACAAGCACGAGTGGAGCAAAAATTTAACGAGCTTAACGAGCAACGAGTTGAGTCGAGCAACAAATTTTTTTAACGAGCACAAGTCGAGCACTGTCCAACTCGCAATCGACTCGCTCGATAAACACCCTAGGTTCAATACTCATTAGGAGTAAAATTCATCTTTCCTTTCCCTAAATAGAAATTGTTCAAAAAAAAAAGACTTGACTAGAAAATGATTAAAAAATTAATCAAAACAAATGATAGATACAAATAAACATCAATGGCGATGATGATGAAGGATAAACACCATCAACACTAACATAAAAATACATATGACAACGGTGGTTCATTGAACTCAATCTACCACAACTCAATCGCAGCTTATCTTTAATGATTGTGAGTGTCTATCAATATTAAATCCAAAAGTTTAAAGCAGAGATAAATCAACATGATAATGAAATGAACACTATATGAATATGAGAGACAACTTTAAATCCAACCCTCGAAAAAAAAAAGATGTGGTTCAAGAGTAGAAAAAAATGCTAAAAGAATAGATAAAACTATCCACTATTTTTATATGAAAAAGGAAATATTAGTTAAAAAAATATATAACATAACTTGATTCTTTAAGAAAGGTCAGGGGTCTGAATCCTGATATTTGCGAATATAGCAAATTGGGTTGGTAGGGTCACCCTCAAAATGAACCTCTGTAAAAGTCCGATCTAGATTAGTCGATCAATAGATCGTATACTAATCATTAGATAAAAAAAATTATTTGGGTCATATTTTCCGCTAATAAATGTCTTCTTTTCAATTCATTTTCGATATCGAAATGCGATAGTCTAATGTCAACCGAGACAAAGGAAAGGTTGAAGTGGATTCGAGAGGGTGGATTCGAGAGGGTGAATTCATATAGGTGTGTCTTCGTCTACCCTGTTGTGTAAAGGTGCTAAATTTTTAAGTTTATGTTACTAGATATTCTCATTTATTTGTACGTTAACTCTTTCGAGTTGTAACCACCTCTCATGATACTAGTTGGTGCACATAAAGTTAAGCAATGTGAGGTTGTGTTTAAATTTTATTGTATGAGTTAGATGATCATATTGCTTGTTTCCATTGATAATGTTGAGATTAATGTGGTTAAAAGTACAATGGTAAATAGAATTCATTAAATGGTCTCAGTAGATAAGAGAAATGTTATTCTTACCATAGGTCTTGAATTTGAACAATCGCGTCTGTAAGGTGTGCGTGTTATCAATGATTAAAAAATATTCTGAACATATACTACCTTCTAATCACCGTAAACTATTAAAAAATGCTAAATGATTTAAATTGAGTATCGAGACTAGTAACACTAGGGTGCAAATATCATCTTTGAGATATGCTACTATGTAAAAAATGAAATAAAAATATCATGGTTGAATTAACCAAAACGAAATATACTTTTGAGTATATAATGACATGAAATATAAGCTTATAAACATTCGCATATGTTGAGTGTACACCTAATTGTAATACCCGATTTTTGTCAACCCTATTTTTAAAGCCGAAACATTTTTATTAAAGCTGATTTTGAAGCCTAATACATCATCCAACTTGAAACGATTTTTTAGACAAGATACAGACTTTTTTAAGGCATGATATCTTCTTGAAACTGGATCTTCTTTCATTTAGCTTTCCAACGCATTTTAAAATGCATCAATCGGACATCGGAAACTCAATATATGCTTATTTTAATGAAGAACGCATGCAGAAAATTGGATACGTACCCAATACGGAGATTTTAATTTATTACGTATTTTCAATTATTTTATTGAATATTTGTAATTAAATTAAGTTTTATACTTTACATTGTTTGTTTAGGGTAATTTAGGATCTTTTTATTATTATTTTAGAATTAATTTTCTTTTAATTAGTATATCTAGCATTAATAAAAAGATATTAGGTTTTTTGCTTTTAGGATTTTTGGCAGCCTATAAATAGGTCCTCTTATTTTGTAATTAGAGGACAAGAAGAAAGAGAGGAAAAAGGGATGAAAGAATCATCTATTGTAGTTAGAAGAACAAGAGCAATAAAAGTGAGTTTTGTTTAAAGTTATTTCCTTTTTATTGTTATTGTTGTCTTTGTTGTTTCGATCGACATCGATCTTGTTTTTTTTTTTTTAAATCTATCAGATTAGAGAAAACCGATGAACAAAGAAAATACTCTTAAATAGATTTCTCTAAATCTAACATTCTTTGAGGTTTCTCCATGAAAACAAATAATTTTCTTTAATCTTTATTTGTTATTTTTTACTATTTTGTTTATCGTTTCAATATTGCTTTTGTTTGAAAATCTCATTGGATGAGAAAAAATCGATGTCGGAACGATCCTTAAGCTTTCTAGGGCTATGGCAAGGAGCGATCCAACTTAATTTTGGAAAATATTGGGTTTTAAAATAAATGCACAAATAACTAAATTTGGAGTCGTCATCGACCTTTGTATTAGGTAGGTCGAATACCTCGAAAATATCCTTTAAAATAATTTTAAGAAAAATAATTATAGAAGATAAAAAGTGATATGCATTTAACTAGAAACTCATTTTGAAAAGGATTCGGGAGTCGATTACGCGTGAGGAAGGATGAGCACCCCCATAGTATCCAAAATCGGTACCTAAGCGATTATACGTCATCTAAATGTTGAAATTTGCAAATTTGATTATACATTTAAATTATGATCCTAAAAAAGTTTCGAAAAGGGTATTATTTCATATGGGCAATTCTCAAAAACACTCTCCTTGTTAGTTAAGGCGCGTTTTTATGGATTCTCCATTTAAAAGATCATTACCATATTTTGTCAAATTATATATTTAATATATATAACGAAAAAAAGTAAAGAAAATAAAATAAAGAAAACACTTGAGTATATAAAAAAGGGGTTATTTTGCATGGGTAACTCTTGAAAACACATTCCATGTTAGTCAAGGTGTGTTTACATGAACTTCCCATACAAGATAATATTCACTTAATTTTTCTAGTGAGAATACACATATTTAATATATAAAAATCATTTGAATGTAAAAAATGTATTACTCTATACGACCAATTTTCGAAAACACACTCTTTGTCAGTTAAGGCGTGTTTCCATAAATTCCTCATATAAAATAATACTACTTTAATAAATGGAAGCAAACTATAAGAAAACATATATACGTATGTATGTATATATATAATAATAAAAACTATATTATATACATATTAATATATATGATGCCAATGTATTAGAGAGAAACCCAACGAGGACTTAAAAAGAACAACACAAACTTAACAAGCTCGAATGCAAATAAAAGAAAGTTAAACAACTATGTAAATGGATGATCGAAGTAAAAAGATGATAACTTTAAAGGTTAAACTATAAAACCAGTGTGGACTAGGGCAATCATTGTAAATATCATACAAACTAAGCATTGGAATCGTAATAAAACCATCATCAACATTCAGGACTAAAATGGAAATTATTAAAATTTAAGGATTGAGTTAAGCATTTGGCCAAAGCATATATAAATGTGGGCAGTGACTAAAACAGAAACAGAGTGAAACTTAAAATGCAAATTAAAATAAATGAAAATTTATTTTAGTGATCAAAATGTAAAGTTACAAGACTCTAGGGCTACAATGCGACGGATTAAAACTATAGAGGGCTCTCATGTGATTTATCCTTGCCCCTAAAACGACGTGTATTAACCAGGGCATAAAATCCTAAAAATCGGCCCAAAATAGCCATCCCACTTCATTTTTTCAACTCACATGTTTTTTTATTAAAATAAGGAAATGAGAGATTCTCTCAAACCCTCTTCACCTCTCACCTCACCGGGAAGGCCAAAAGCATCTAGCCACCGCTCACCAGAGCACTCCACCGTCGGACACGGTGGTCGGAGTCTTAGGAATCTAACCCAAAACGATGCTCACTCTCCCTAAACTTGAAAACAAACTCCATTCGACTTAAGAACTACCCCATAGCCCTATATCTAGTGAAAAAACAAAGGAGTTACCTTCGATGAACGACGAATCTTCACTCTAATAAAAGAGCCCAGATGCTTCGATGGTAAGTGTTTCTCTCTTTTCTTCTCTCTCTTTTTCTCTTTTTCGTTGTTTGTTTTCATTTTTTTCGAATCCCAGAGTTCTCTCTCTCCTTTTTTGCTCCTTGTTAGATGAATGATATGAATGATCATTGAAGAGTAATACTTCTCTATGTTATTCATAGTACATACACAATTATATACAAGTGATCCATAACTACTTACAACAACCTAACAACTTCAGCAACTAACTGCAACTAACTAACTGACTACACCTAACTTCATACCAGCTTATACATTTGCACACTAATTACATTCCACATTCTCCCCACTTTTGCCTTCTCCTCCAAGAAACGACTGAACACAAACCTTTGCTCGAAAAATCTAAAACTGTGCTGCAGAAAAAGGCTTGGTCAAGCCATCTGCAACTTGATGGCTAGCAGGCATATAATTAATCAAAACCTGTCTAGCAGCCACTTTTTCTCTCATGAAATGAACATCAAGTTCAACGTGTTTTGTTTTAGCATGATACATCGGGTTTGCAGTAATGGCTACTGCACTATTATTATCACACCACACTATAGGTATTTTAGGTTGCAACATTCTCATGTCTGACAGTAGAGCACTTATCCACGTTGTCTCGACAGTAACATCAGCCACGCTCCTATACTCGGCCTCCATAGTGGATCTGTAAACAGACTTTTGTTTCTTAGAGCTCCACATAACCAGATTCTCACCAATAAACACGCAATTGCCTGAGACAGACCTTCGATCATCTGCATTCCTACCCTAATTAGGATTCGCAAAGGCCACAATACTCAGTCCAGCACTGGACGATGCTATAGCCAGGCCATGGTTAAGTGTGCTAACCAAATATCTCAGGATGCGTTTAACTGCCACCAAATGATCACGCCTAGGTGCCTGTATGTACTGTGCCACCTTGTTCACACTAAAGGAGATATCAGGACAAGTGTGGCAGATATAAAGAAGTGCTCCTACAATGCTACGATACTCATACGCATCAGGCAACAGATCACCAGCATCATCTCGCATAAGCTTCGATGTAACCAGTATAGGTGTAGCCGCAGTACCAGCATTACTCATCTTGGTCTTCATGAGAAGCTCCATAATAAACTTTCGATGACTGAGAATCAATGAATCATTTACTCAATGAATCTCGATACCGAGAAAGAAATTGAGCTCTCCAAGGTCCTTTAACGCAAACTCAGCCCCCAATAATTGCACAATTTCTTCAATTTGAGCATCTGACTCACCTGTAACTATTATGTCATCGACATATAATAGCATGTATACATAGCTGTCATGAACATGCCTCACAAAAAAGGAAGTATCTACTTTAGATTCTTTGAACCCAATGCGAAGCAAACACTGCTTCAACCTGTCATGCCAACTTCGAGGTGCTTGTCTCAAGCCATACAAGGCTTTTTGAAGTTTACAAACCAACAACGCACCATCAGATGCCCTCTGCTCAAATCCAGGTGGTTGATGCATGTACACATCTTCACTCAACTCTCAATGCAAAAAGGCATTGTTTACATCAATATGCCGCAATTACCAACCCTCTGTCGTAACTAAGGCTAAAACCACATTCAGTGTGGTAAACTTAACCACTGGACTGAATGTCTCATGAAAGTCATGGCCTGGAATTTGGGAATACCCCTTGGCTACAAGACGAGCCTTATACCGATTGACAGACCCATCTGGATTTTTTTTTCAACTTAAATAGCCATTTACAGCCTACTACTGACCGACCTTCAGGTAAAGTCACAAGAGACCAAGTGCCATTCTTCCGCAGAGCTTCAATCTCGGCATATACTGCATTTTTCCAATGAGGGGACTGAAGGGCTTCATGCACATTGGCAGGTTCCATAGATACACAGGAGGCCACATACACCTTAGGCTTGAAAATCCCACACTTGCTCCTAGTACGCATAGGATGACAATTCAAGTTGGACTGCACACCACCTTGTTCATCAGACTCAACATTATCTTGAGCACTGATTTCTACATCACTTTGCTCATGAGAAATGCTTGCATTTATTGCTTCTTCATAACTCTGGACAGTAGAACCACCACTGCTAGTAGTATTTTATTCAACATCAAAAGATGCACTTGAGGACCCTCTTGCACTCAAGGGCTCATGTCCTGCAGTTTCATTTACATTGTCAGGTGTCAACTCTTCACACGACTCAATAGGTGCAACAAGACTATGCACACCATTATCTCGTTCAAGTAACTTCCTCACATCAGCAACAATCTCAATATCACTAGATATCGAAGCAGCAGAATGGGATGTTGTGCGATTGGCTGCATTACCTGCAAATGGAAAAATTAACTCGTCAAACGCAACATGCCGAGAGATATAGACTCTCCCATTGTTTGCTAAACACATGTAACCCTTGTGTTGTGGACTATATCCCAGAAACGTGCAAGGCTGAGACCGAAACTCCGTCTTATGTCTTTGAAACACACATAAATATGGGAAACATTTACAGCCAAATACCCTCATGAATCCATAATCAGGTTTCCTCCCCCATAATATTTCCAAATGAGACACCCCACTCAATACCTTAGTTGGTAGTCTGTTGATGATATAAACTGCAGTAATAGCATCATAGTACCAATAATGTAGAGGCATTGCAGCCTAAGCCAAAAGTATCAAGGAAAGCTCGACAATGTGTCTATGCTTCCTCTCAACCACTCCGTTTTGCTCAGACGTATGAGGACAAGCCACTCGATGAACTATGCCACTCTTAGCTAGAATCGGTGAGAGATTTCGATACTCACCACCCCAATCACTTTGCATAGACTTGATTACCACACCAAACTGATTCAACACCATCTGTTGGAACAACTTGAAAACACTCATAGCTTGTGACCGATCCTTTAGAAAATACACCCACGTGTGTCTAGAGTAGGCATCTACAAATGACAAGTAATATCTATATCCATTAGACACTACATTTGATGGTCCCCAAATATTAGTAAATACAAGTTGGAAAGGTGAAGTATATAATGTAGAGGAATTAGAAAAGGGCAACATATGACTCTTGCCAATACAACAAGCTTCACAAAATTTATTCATTGTTTTGGAAAGTTTGACATCAATCGTTTTACACACATCAGTTATAGTACTATAAGTAGCATGACCCAATCTTCGATGCCAAAGTGTGAAATCATCAACTGCCACAGCTGAACTAGTTGAAGCATTCTCACAAACACCTAGCAACCGTTCTCCTGAAAAGACATACAACCCTCCTTCAACATGACCATGCAGCAACACTTCTTTTGTAATAACATCACGAACACATTACCCATGATCATAAAACTTAAAGTATACGCCATTGTCCCTAGCAAACTTGGACACCAAAAGAAGGTTTTGAGTTATTCTAGGGACATGCAGTATGTCATTTAACATCAAATATTTAGAAGATGTTGCTAAGGTACCATTACCAACCATGTTTACAGGCAAAGACACACCATTACCAACAGTGAGCTTACCTGGACCACCATGTTCTGACCGGTGTGTAATGTTACCAGAATTGGGTGTCACGTGGTGAGTGGCTCCAGAGTCCACCACCCACTGATCTTGAGTAGAACTAGTCGTTGAGTAACCTTGAGAAGAACCTTCTGTGGTTAGCTGACTTCGAACCCTATTCACACAGCAATCACAACCAGTGCAATTGGTTTTTTCATAAGTCATGTTATTTGTATTAGTTGTATCTCTTGCATACTGAGAATGACCAATATTAGTGGACACAATCTGGAAATCCTCATCAAAACGATGACAGCACCTGTCAACAAGATGACCAGGTTTCCCACACAATTGACATTGTACACGCAATCGGCCACGACCATGGCCACCTTGTCCCCCATTTCTTCTTCCAAAATATGAGGTCTGATGTGATCAATGACTATATGAATTAGAATTTGGCTTGACAACATCTGCTCGAGCAACATGAGCACTGGCCAATACTAAATCTTCTTGAGCAGCAAACCCAGCTAATTGAGTCTCAGCATCAATTAGAATCGTACTCACATTTTCTAAGGAAATAGAGTCACCATTGGTGGTTATAATTGCCATGAATGGCTGGTACTCTTGGGGTAATCCTTTCAATATACTTGCAATATGCCCAACTGTGGGAACCGCACTACCACAGGATGCTAGGGCATCACAAGTTTCTTTAACCCGAGACAAGTAGACACGTATGCTTTCTTCTCCTTTCTTGAGAGACTGTAGTTTACAGTGAAGGTTCATCACAGCTGTGGACGATCTAGTGGCAAAGATCTGTAATACTGTGTTCCAAACTGCATAAGCAGTTTCTGCTCCAACGAATTGTGAGAGTAAATGTGTACTGATAGTCGAGAGCAACCACGATGCTAACGCACTATCTTGAGCTATAAAGTCTTCATTTGGAACCATCGTCCCATCTTCAGCAGTCAGACATTCTGGTAGAGGCTTCAACGCACCGGTGAGCAACCGTTCAAGCCGGTGACTTCTTACTGTGAGAAGCACTTGCTGCTTCCAAAGCAAGAAATTCGTTTCATCAAGCACAACATTAATCTTTTTGTTAGTGAACATCTTGATTCTGTTCGAAAGTGATTGTAAATCAACAGCAGCCATGAACACCGAAACTTCTTACAGTAAAAACAATCTCTCCAGGACTTATGGCGATTGATACCATGTTAGATGAACGATATGAATGATCATTGAAGAGAAATACTGCTCTATGTTATTCATAGTACTTACACAATTATATACAAGTGATCCATAACTACTTACAACAACCTAACAACTTCAGCAACTAACTGCAACTAACTAACTGACTACACCTAACTTCATACCAGCTTATACATTTGCACACTAACTACATTCCACACTCCTGATTATTGATGGTTGATTCCTCCTCTTTCTCTGATGGATATGTATTTTACAAAGAGGGCCCTATACTTTTTTGACTTTTTCGTGTTGCATGTAAATAGAAATAAATGATATCTGATTTTTGCTTTTTTTATCTCTTTTTGGCTCTGGATGTTTTAACCGAGGGGGGAGACACGTCTGACGACAGGCGACAGATGACGTATGTACGAACAGGGTAAAAACATTTTATCTTATGTCTTTTCATCTATTTTGAGGCGACCGGTAGGCATCTCAACGATAGTGGTAGGCCTCGGGAACAGGCGAGTCACAGGCGAGCAATTTGGTCGGGCGCATGTAGACTGATCGGCGCATGGTGGCTGCTGCTGATTAGGGTAAAACCTTAGCTTGGGTTAATTCGGGTCGTTGGATTAGATCTGATATTAATCGAATTTTAATCGAGTTAAATTCAAACAACTCACAAACTGCTCAATTTATAATCATATCTATTTTTTTTTTGAATACTTGTAGCTTGTTTTTCCCTTCAGTGTAGCCGGTTAATTTTAAAGGTAGACAAATTTTTGATAAAAAAAAGATTGTTGGGGGGTTTTATGTGTTGCAAAACAACAAGGTAATTTATGCCCTAACTCAAGTTTAGAGGGTTTGAAGCGTCATTTCACAAATCCCAAGGTGGAAGTGTTCGATGTACCAAAAAGGAGGCACGATGGAGATTTCTTATTGTTTTGATAGTTGGATTTTGAGATTGTAGGTCGATGGATTCAAAGTTATATTTGTGAAGTTTGGCCCATTTTCTAATAAAATAAACACTAAATTAATGTTCAAGAAATAAAAAAGTAATTACTTATAAATTTTTAGGTAGTTGTTAATGGTGGCTAGCATGAAGACGGTAATGATCTCTACCAAAATCCAGGTTTAGAGAAGAACAAAAAAAATATGAAAATAAATCAATTGATAATTTTTTAAAATATTTATATAGTTATTTTTAATTAGAACTAAACTAATAGAGGGTAAAAATTTTGAAGACTGAATCCGATATTAAATTAGACCATGTTATCGTTTCTTTTAAGTTTTATCAAAATCTTAACAATTAATGATCAAAATGAAAAATAAATTAGTGACAATTTTGTCAAAATAATTTAATGACTAAAGTGAAAATTTTGATAATAGTTTAGTGACCGATAGGTAGTTTACTCTAAAAAAAATTAAGTATCTAATAAAAGCAATTTAAAATAAAAATTAAAAGAAATAGAGTAAAACTTATTATCTTCAACCCTAATTTCCTGAAACAAAAAACCCAAAGTGCCTCACTTTCTCCTTCTCGACGGACAACAGTCGACTCTCCCACCTCACCCAGTCACCGTGCATCCATCTCAGCTCTCACCTGAGACGGCGGACACTGGGTTCTCATCCAGTAGCCGCTACAATCCAGCACTCACTGTTCTCTCAGCCGCGAAACTTGGAAGCAGCAAGCATCAATGTCCTGCAAGAGTTTTTCAGTTTTGAACATAAACTATCTCACCGCTTTATCTAAGGTATGTTCTTCAGGACGTTTCCCTCGTTCAGTCACACATTTCAAGAAGTTTCTCAGCACTGCGGCTGAAAGGTGGGATTATGTTAGCCCTCATAGCACCCGTCAGTTTGAGAATCCTCCGTATGATACCCCAAGTTCACTAGGCTATGAGCAGAAACAAAATGGGCACGCCTTAAACACAAACCAAGGTTTTGAAGTATGCCCTACGGGTGATTATGGGGGGACTCGGTACCGGAAAAATCCACAAGATATCTATAAGTTTACTTCTTATGGTCAAGTGACAAATAACACTTTTTCTTATGGACAAGTAACAAGTAACGTTAATTTTTATGGTCAAGTATCTGCTATTTCCGACTCTAAGGAAGGGTTAACTGAGATTTCTGAAACTAGCTCAAATAATGCTACGATTGAGATGCTGGAGGAATTTTGCAATAAAAGGAATGTTAAAGAAGCATTAGAAGTTTTGGGGTCGATGAGACAGCAAGGTGTTCATGTGGATTTGACCCAAATTTTACGCATAATGAAGGCATGTGGAGAAGTGAAAGCTTTACCAGAAGCGAAAACTGTTCATGAATACCTCTTAGGATCACTTTCACCTCTCAAGATAAGCATCTATAATAAGATTTTAGAGATGTACATGAAATGTGGTTCGACTGTTGATGCATTTGATGTGTTTGACAAGATGCCGAAGCGCAATCTAACATCTTGGGATATTATGATCACATGGCTTGCTAGGAATGGGATAGGGGAGGATGCCCTTGACCTGTTTTATCAGTTTAAGCAGGCAGGCTTGAAACCAGATGCCAAAATGTTTGTTGCTGTGTTTTATGCTTGTGGTGTTGTGGGCGATATTAATGAGGGAATGCTCCACTTTTCGTCAATGAGCAGTGATTATGGCATTGTCCCATCCATGGAGCATTATGTAAGCATTGTTGACATGCTGGGGAGTACAGGGCATCTGGATGAAGCATTGGAATTCATTGAGAAGATCCCATTTGAGCCCAGTGCTGATGTTTGGGAAACTTTAATGAATCTCTGCAGAGTTCATGGGTACTTGGAACTTGGGGATCGTTGTGCTGAGCTTGTGGAGGTACTAGATCCCTCCCGCTTGAATGAACAATCAAAAGCAGGCCTTATACCTTTGAAAGATTTGGATCTTCAACATAATGAGAAGAAGAAATTGGCAAATCAAAGTCCTCTTGAAGTCAGAAGCAGGGTCAATGAGTATCGTGCAGGAGATACATCACATCCTGAGAATGATAGAATCTATGCACTGCTGAGAAGTTTGAAAGAACAGATGAAAGAAGCTGGTTATGTTCCAGAAACGAAATTTGTTTTGCATGATATAGATCAGGAAAGTAAGGAAGAAGCTCTTCTTGCTCATAGTGAGAGGCTTGCTCTTGCTAATGGTCTCCTCACTACTCCAGCTCGTGGACAGGTTCGTATAATAAAGAATCTTCGTGTTTGTGGTGATTGCCATGCTGCATTTAAGATCATGTCAAAGATTGTTGGCAGAATGATCATAATGCGAGATGCTAAGAGGTTTCATCATTTCAGTGAAGGGATATGTTCTTGTCGAGATTATTGGTGATTAAAATAGAACTTGAGGTATCATTTATCTTAACAATCTGTTTTACGTTTTGAATGAAAAAGAATTTAGTAGCATCTGAAGTGTGTAATCTATAAGATAGTTATTAGAGAAGATATAAATCAAAATAGCACTTGAAGTATCATTCATCTCAACAATCTGTTTTACTTTTTGAATTAAAAAGAATTTAGTAGCATCTGAAGTGAGTAATCTATAAGATAGTAATTTATTAGAGAAGATATAAATAACCTATCTAGTTATAAATTTTTCTTCTACTTGTTTATGACTTATACCTGCAACTAGGTGTACTTCATTTGAGATATAAACAAGCCTTCTTTAATGCAGAACATCCAAATGCTTTGGATTCAATATGCTAACAGCCAAATTCACTTTTATGGCCTATGACTACTCTCCACGCAGGGGAAGCTGGTGCCAATTTGGTACCTTCACATCTTTAATCACTGTAATTGCTCTTTCAATATCTTGCCCTTGTGAAGTAGTGAATTTACATTTGCATATGCTCCTTCTAATGTGTGTCTCTCTTTATCTATCAAAATTTTACATTTATTTTCAGTGAATTACTATTCATCTTGCCCAGTCTGTGGGCTGTCTTGACTGCATTTTTCATATTCAAGTAATTAAAAGAAGGATTTTTGTCTTGTTCTGGTGTTAGTATATGTTATATTGTATATTCGTTGTTTCAGACGATCCTGTTGTGTATAAACAGAATTGATAGTAGAAATAGTGTTGCAATATAAGCAGGTAAAGAGTAATTTGACTTTGATGGGTGTTGTAATCCCATGAGATATTTATAACTCAAAATGATTTATCATATTTTTTTTTTGGGACAGAAAAATGCTTAATCTTGTGAGTAAATGTTGTTGGTGTATGTGAAAACAAAATGAGGAAATGTTTTGCAGGGAATGGGTGTTGTTCAGATAGTTTCTACAACTGGGGCAGTTTATAGGTTCCTGCACCATCAATTGGCTGGGATAACACAGCTTGGTTTGATCGGACAAGCACCGTCGTTAGTTTGCATTCAATCATAGTTGGTTCATTCATTCACATGTTTCATCTTTCAAAGTTGACAATGTCAGCAAAAGCCGGCAGCCTATTATTTTGCCATTTATATTCAGTTTGAGTGCAAAGTGCAGTGTGCGAAATCAGGAAATAACTCATTCGAGCAGCAGCATAAACGCAGGTAATGTAATTTTCTTACTAACTCATACGAGCGTAAATGAACATTTTGATTAAGATATGGATATAGATATAGACACAGTTGTAGGAATCCTTTTTCTCTTTAATAATATTATTATGCCAACATCACGAGCTTGAAAAATATTGCAAAATTATTCGATTCCTACATTTGCTTGCATTTTTTCACCTGCTTCCCATCCGCTCCATCCAATCATGTCCATACATTAGATGATAAGATGTCAAAACTCAAAACAATGGGGGAAATGGATGCTGATATAGCTTGCTATAACTACTGAGAATATGGAATATCAATCATGAAAATTACCAGTTGCGTATAACGAAACTTAATGTATCAAGAAGCTAGGTGCAAGTGTAGCTCCAGAGCTAGCGCCTTGTGTTGCCTGGATTTTCATAGCTAGACCTGACAAATTTGAATTGAACTCAATTATCCGAATAGATGATTTATCCAAATCGACATTCGATATGGACTTGGACAAGATAATATAAACTTGACCCAAAACAAATCCAATTGAATTGAAATCGATTTGAATTTTAGCTGGATTGATATAAGCCTGAATTGAAATCAACATTACTTGAAAACAACTTAAACCAATTGAAATCAATTTGAACTGTAGGCAACTTGAATTTAATTTACCTGTATCAAATGCGAATTTAACATTGACTTGATTGATTGCAACTTGATAATTAAGTTTAAGTGAACGAATAGCATTTTTTATTATTATTTATTTTTTTAAGCAATTTTGTAAATAGTAAAACGATTTTGTTTTATTCTTCTTTTGTATTATATTACAAGTTAACCACTACCTTTAATAATAGTTTAATGGTTTAATATTATTTTTTTTCTCATTTAATCTCTATTTTTGATTAGGCAATTCTAAATTATTTTTAAAAATTATGTGATAAATTCTTTAATTAAGAATCATCTTTATTTAAGAATCGAATTCTTTATTATTAAACAAAATGATGAATAACTTGTTTTTACAATATATAAATATTATATTTATTTATGATTTATAACGAAAGAATAATATAATTCAAACATAATTCTATATAATTATTTTTAAAATTCAATAAATATTATATTTATAATTAAAACATTAAAATCTGATTGAAACTTTTAGGTGAGAATAGAATTTATAGTTTAAATAATTTTATTTTTTTTACTAAATAGATCGTACTACAAAATTTTCGAGTCAAATTAATATGAAATTTTCAAGTCACAAAATTTAACATGTCTTATAAGATAGGGGTTAGGTCAATTTGTCATCCCTAAATGATGAAAACATTGAATGGTTGAGAGTTGAATTTGAGAGTTGTTTAGATTTAGGAATTGTGATGTTTTGGTAGATTTGGAGTGATAATGAGATGATGATGATGGGGACCATGATAGTTGTGTTGGGCGTATGGAGAGTTGAAAATTATAGTGATTGAGAGGTGAGGTTTCACTTGGTGGTAATAGGTTATGATGGCAGGATGTGAGTATTTAGATTTTTTATTGTCAATCGCGTTGGTTAAGAGAAACGGTGATTTTCGAAGGTTACTTCGATATAGGATAATGTGGTAGTGTGTATGGGTGTGGTGATTCGAGAAAGTGTGTTTAAAGTGAATAAGATGAAGGTTGATGGCGATTATGGTGGAGGTAGCATGGGTGATAGAGAGAGACTTCTAACAATGGTTGAAGGTTATCAGAGATGGTGGGCAATAGGATTGTAATGGGGTCCTCGAGATCCCCTTTTTATGTGTTTTTTTTGGTTAAGCCCTTCTTTCCTCTTCTCTTTGCTTGGTTGATAGTGGTCAGAACGACGGATGATGATGATCAGAACAATGGCTGGTTTGATGATCGAAATCTGGATTCGTTCATGTTGAGGAGAAAAATGATGAAAAAAGAGGAGGAAGGAGGAGAAAAAAGAAAGAAAGAAGGGGAATGAATTATTTTTATTTACATCAAAACAATGTCTAAATTTGATTTTTTTTTTGGAAAATCCTAAACTATGTTGATTTGGTGTTGATTTCCGTATCACAACATTATTAATTATTTAACGACAAAATGACCAAAATAAGAGTCATTCAAACATTAAGACATTCAACTAAAATTTTTTAAATTTCACCGATATAAAAATAAAAAAGTTGAATGATGAAGAATGCAATTTACTCTTAATAAAATAGGTAACCTCTTACCAGAATTAAAACAATGTAAATAATAGATTCATGTACTCTCCATTCTAGAAAAATAGATTCCGTAGTTTTAGTCCCATAATCCCTAAAAAGCTTGAGATTTGCCATAAATTGAACTTATAAGCAAAACCTAAGATTTGTTATATAACATTAAAAGAGACTGATAAATAACAATTCATTGATTAAACATATTAAAATACCATTATTCTGAAAATGGAAATAATAAATAATATAGTTAAAGCATTACAATGGACACATTTCAGTTGTGGATGTAAATATAAAATATAAATTGAAAGAGGAGAAAAATGATAATGAAGAGAATATATATTACCTTCCGATATTTCTCAGCCATCTTTATGACATCAATTTTGTTCATTATTGCCACCAATTGTAAGTGGCTGAGATTATGACATTTTTGGACCGACTAATAATAATAATGTACTCCAAGAAAATAATTAATTAATTTTTCTTTCCCTCTTCACCACCTTCTTCCAAGTAAGCCTTCTTTCTCCTATCAGCTGTAGCAAACAGACAAATCACAAGAAAACACGTGGCGTACATCCCATGTACCTTCCAATTCGTCTTGGGCGGTTGATGCAACACCACCCTATGAAACACCGCCACGTAGTAATGCAACCCGACGGCGAACCCGACGAAAATTTGACCCAAACCCAACATCTTGGATCCGAGACCCGACACGGTTGAGAAAACAAGAATCAGATACATCAAAAGCAGCAGCAAGTAAAGCACGTATCCGAGTGTTTGAAGGACCTGTAAACACACGTAGGTCGAGGGCGAAGTAGCGTAGAAAAACTTCAATGGCTCGAGACCAGTGACGAGTGAAGTAAGGCAGAGGATCGAGAAGTAAATCGAGAGGTAAATTTGGATGAAAATGAGCATCTTTTGGAGTGAAAAGTAAGCTTTGATGCGGTTAAAGATGAGGGAAACTAACAGTAACGGGAGTAAAAGGAAAGCACAAGAGATTACAGTGGCAATCGTAGGGGCATGTTTGTTGCCGACATATGGTTTGAACTGTTTCGTGAACTCTTTGTTGTATTTCGTGATGTAAACTTTTGAGGTTTTCGAGATTCTCTCAAGGTCTGGGATAAGGTTTTCCTGGAACTTGGTCGGGAGATCTCGGAACTCAGCAACTAAATCGGATTCATCTTCCTCGTCCATCCAACTGGGTTGCTTTCTCTGTTGTTTCTGAATCTGGGTTGTTGTTTTCCCTTGGATTGAGCTCTTTTGAGTTTTTGAAGATTGAGCAGCACTGTCGGTCAGTGTTTTTGTGGTGGTTTTGTTCTTGGAAGGGCTTAGTTTGAGTAGATCCGAGGTTTTTGTGATCTTGGAGGAATTGGTGGCTTTTGATGCTGTGGAGTTGAGTTTCTTGAGCTTGGGAATCGAACTGAGCGACAAATTTGATAATGATTTTGTTGAATTGGTAGTTTTCGAAAGCTTGGTATGGTTCTTCGCCGACAAATTTGATGGCGATTTCAATAGTTTGGTTTGGTTTTTTGTGGATATATTCAATGATTTGATAAGCTTGGTTTGGTTTTTGGTTGATAAGTTGGATGATTTGATGAGCATGGTTTCGTTCTTCTTGGGGGATAAACTGGAGCTTTTCTTCTTCAACAACAGCTGCTCGTCTTCTTCATCTAGCTCTAACAATCTTCTTCCATCACCAGACCAAGACCGAGTGGTCTGAAGCTCGTGGCTATGAATGGAGGCACAAAAGAGCAGAGAAATCAACACGAAGAAAGCAATATAAAGCAAGAATACCTTACGGAAACTGAAGTACACTAGTGGAGCCATTGCTGAAATTGTCTGCCTTGAAAGATGGAAAAGATCCAATGGTTTTAAGGTTGGGATTGGATCTGAAGTATCCAAGTAAGTGAAAAAGAAAGAGATAAAAGAGAAAACAAAGTTTATATAGTCGTAGATTTACATGAAAGGCATTAATTGAAAAGTGGGAAGCCGATGAGGTCAGTCATATGGTGATAAAATTATATCAAAGGAAAAGATATTGTAGTACTTATCTAATTACTACTAACGCGGTTTTCGCACCGTCCCCTCGCTGCCTACGACTTCATTACCTCACTCCCACAGTCACACTCCATAAGGAAAAGGGTAGTGTTGAAATGGCAAAGTTGACCTTAATGAAGTGAAAAATATAATTTTCCTAAAATTATTTTCTCAAATAAATTGTTTTGAAAGCAATTCTGAAAGATATCAAAACATAGTATCTCTTCAACTTTTTCGAGAAAGACGTAGTTTTCTCTGGAAAGACGTATGGACAAGACAGAAACAAAATCATGTAAGGTGTGTAGAAAATATACACTATAGTCCATGTTTCTTCCCCGGAACAGTTACATCAGAAAATTTTGGAAAGACAATGATTTAATTATAATGGTTTCAAAACTACTAATACCTTGATAGATAATTAGACCATCAAAGTTCGGGGCAATAAGGGGCTATTGCCCCTCCCCACTTATAACATAGATATGTCATTGGCTCGTAGGTAATATTATTAGAATAAAAACTTTTTAAAATTTTTTATTCAAAATCACAATCACATAATATTATTAACTGAAATAGCATTCCTTAGTAAAGACGCATCACGTGAAAAACACCAATCAAAATATGTATTTTATAATTTATATGGTGCATCTTTGGGAAAACCAATATCAAACTGCTTGTAACTTCTTCTTTTATTGTAAGGAGCATTTCAAACCTTATCCTCCTCAATTTTTGTTGTACGGGTTTAAATTATGGTTTGATCGGTAGTTTATGAACTACCATATATGTGTCTAATCCAGACATATCTTGGTATGACCATGCAAAAACATTTTTGTACTCCTGAAGTAAGTCTATCAAGTTTTGTCTTGCTTCAGACGAGAGTGTTGTGCCGATTTTAACTTCCTTCTTCCATTTCTCAGTCCCTAAATTCAAAACTTCAATTTTTTCTTCATGGGGTAATATTTGCTTGTCTTTCTTTTCCACCATTCTTAACAATTCGGAATGTAAGTTGCACTCACCTTCATTGTCACACTCACCGATTTCCCTAAGACACTTGAGCTACTCAAAATCGATTTTCGGGTCAGAGTTAACATTATCCACATCATTAACATCCAAATACCTGAAAGAAAAAGAGGGGAAAATATATATACATGCGAGAGAAAAATATCCCACGTAAAATGTAGAAACAAATGTATTATATACATATATATACATGAAAAAAGAAGTGAAAGGAAAAGATGTTTGCGAGAAAAGAAATTGCATCTTTTATTGAAATATAAATAAAAATAGTTTATCTACCCTTACAAAAGATCATATATTGCCCCGTGTATAAGCAAATAGGGGAAGTTTGATCATTAATCTAAAGAGATTTGAAAACCACAGGTAGTTCTTCAACAGTCCAGTTGTTAAGCAAGAACCCCGGCGATAACGGACAGATTCCAAATATGTCAACCTCCTTAGGACCATCTGTTGTTATAGAATTGATACTCAAATCTTTCAGAGCTTTCTCCAAATCATATTAGGTCATCATTGTTTCTCCCTCAAACATATAACCACCAGACCTGAATGTATCATAAAGAGGAGGAAAAACCATTGGTTCCCATTGAACCTCTTCTCCTATCAACCTCGCTCTTCTTCTTTCCTGGGAATTCTGGATTTTTTTTCCTTCTTTGTTGGTGAATGGGTTGGAATCCAAGTCCAAACTGATCCAATTTAGAAATTGGATGAACAAAACTAATTATTCATTGCTAAGAACTTCTGAAACCTCTTCCTATCATTGCACATCTTCCCAAGGTTTGTTTGATTTCCATATTGGTGTATTCTGAGAGTCTGGATTTGGAAATCTTACCCCTTTCAACCACAAATGTGGCATTAACAAACTCTAATGAGCGAAACGAACATTCTAGAGCTTCCTCGTCTACATCAATGTAAGAGGTGTCGGTCGTCACGCTTGCCACTATGTCTTCTTCAGCATTGATGATTATAAGAGTCATGTCAATAACGAACTTGACTTTCTAGTGGAGTGTTAATGGTACTGCCCCAGCTTGATGAATTTATGGCCTTCCTAAAAGGCAGTTATACGAAGGCATAATAGCCATCACTAGGAACTCTATATTGTAAGTGACAGGCCCAATGGTTAATGGTACTTCAATTTTGCCAAGCACCTCCCTTTTCATCCCATCAAATGCCCGAACCACACTTTAGCATGTTCTAACGTGGGAGGTATCCATTGGTAACCTTTTAAGAGTGACCAAAGGCATTACATTTAGGGTGTAACCATTATCAATTAGTACACTTGGTAAAGTCATGCCCCTTGCAATGAGTAATGATGTGTAATGCTTTGCCCCGACCCATTCTTCCGGACGGAATCTCATCATCAAAAAATGAGATAAGATTATCAGCTTGGATGTTGTTAACTAGTCGGTCCAGCTTATTGATTGTTATGTCATTTGGAACAAATTTTTGATTCAATACCTTCAGTAATGCCTCCCTGTGTGCCTCCAAACTCATCAGTAATGCCACCATTGAGATGTGAGTTGGAAAGCTATGTAGATGTTCCACAAAGTTGTATTTACTATGTTTTAGAAACTTCAAGAACTCCACAACTTCTTCTTCTTTTATTGGTTTGTTAACTGTTATTTCATCTCTTTCAAATGGCTCAAGCGTTCTCTGAGGTAAGTTAGACTTTTGAGAGTAATACCTCTCATTTCTAATAGAATGCACCACTTCATCGATATCATCTTTTGTAGAACTCACTTGGCATCATATTTCCAAGGCACATGTTTATTGTCTTTATAAGGGAAAGGTCTTGGTGCTACTATCACTACTTTTACTGGTACCTTATCTACTACTTTTTCCTTAGGGTAATTATTAAATGGCGACCCATGCCATATCCCCTTTCGGATGAATCTCTAGTTGCAAAAACATTCACTTCATTGCTTTCCTTGTAAAATTCCAACTCTTTCCAATCCATCATTAGCTGAATCAAGGCTCTAAACTCATAATATTCTTGCACATCATGTCTTTCCTTATTGTGATAACAGGAATGATTGCCACATTTGTATTCTGATGTGCTAGGATGTGATGCAAGAAACCCCATATTTACCATTTGTTTACATATCCAAGCTATATGAGACTTCACTTCAGAAACACTGGTCTTGACCTTCTTGCATTTCTCCCCGATAATTGCATTAACCCTAGTCTCTTGGTGATTAGGCAGAAGATTCTGTGCAATATTGGGTGATTCTGAATTATTGAAATGAATCCAGTTCTTGTTGAACATCTTTTGAACAATCATCTTAAAGACAAGGCAATTTTCAATAGCATGTCCTTGGACACCACCATGATATTCACAATGTGTATTTTTATCATACCACCTGGGTACCGGGGCTTTAGAGGTTCCGCTGGGTATGGTGACACCACGTGTGTGTCGAAAAGATGTTGGTAAAGTTCTTTATATATCATGGGAATAAGATCGAAATGCTCATTTTTCTCTTTCTTTCCTTGGTTCCCTCAAATCTTGTCTAAAAGTACCTGACGGTACAACTGTAGTTGGTTTTGATTTAGAGATCGTAACACTTTTGTCGGCATCCTAAGTGATGACGTTGTTGATCTCTCATTCTCTTTTCTTCATGGGAGGTATTCTACTTGACTCAACCCTTTCTATCTTCCCTTGCTTAATGGTCGTCTCCACCATTTCTTCGACCATAACCAGATCAAAAAAAACTCTCAGACGTGATTGCGACCAAATACCCGAAGAAATGAGCCTTCAAGGTATGTACGAAGAGACTTCTTATTTATTTTTCTTCCAAATATGGATGAACCTGCATGGCTAAATCCCTCTATCACTTTGCATATTATCTGAAACCTTCGTTATGTTTTTTCTCCATACTTTACAACATAACACGATTTAGTCTTATGTTATTCACATGATTGTATTGTTCCAAGAATGATTTGGCAAGATCTTTCCTTGTCCTAATGTGGAAACGATTCAGCTGATTGTATCACCGAATGGCTAAACCCGCCAGACTCTCATGGAAACATAGAATCAAGAGCTGGTTATTCCCAACATATCCTCACATCTTTCAATAGAACATGGTAATGTGAGCTGAGGGATAATTGTTCCCATCAAACTTCTCGAAATCTGGAATTTTAAACTTGGGGGAAGAATTGAATCCGGAACCATGCTTAACTTCAGAGCGTCAACTTCATAATAGTTGTCATCTCCTTTAACTATTTTCATTTGGTCTTCCAAATACTTGATCTATTCCTCCATCTTTTTTGCTTTGTCATCCTCATCAAAATATATAATACACTAATTTTCCATATTATTCTGAGGGTTGGTTACAAAACATGTACTTTTGCAGCAGACAAGTCCCCTTGAAGTCTTGGTAATATTCTATGTGAGATAACCAGTTACGGAGTAGGTGATACAACCCCTACCCCATGAGCATTCATCTGAATCAAGCTAGACAGCCTTGCAACAATCTGGTCAACCAATGAATCTCAATTCCTAGTGATAGAATCGAGAGTATTTTGATGATTTTGACTTATTTTATCCTTAAGTTCTCTTTGCAATTTCAGCATGTTTTCCTTAAGTTGAGCGATCTTAGCTTTCATCTTCTTCTTCTTTAAGCGGGTATTGTGAGGATGAGGTGTATCCAGTGCTTATTCTTTTTTTCGATAATACATTTTATGTTAGTTGATTTTGAATGTAAAGAAATGAAAATGCAAGAAATGTAAAAATGCAAGATGCATGAAACTTTCAATGCATTAATCCAAATTGTGTCTTTATTATAAATAGCCCTCATTGAGACAAAAGTGTTATTACTAAGAGACCAAAAACAATTTAGAGGTATATTATAGTTATATCTTATAGACCCCGAACTACTTCTATTAGATTGATAAGTCTTCTTGCTTCATCTGTCACTGGCTGAATACCTTGCTGAACCACCCCAGTTTTTCTTGCCAAACCATAAAACTGACGGGCTATTTTCTATACCTGCTATAAGAAATCCCGAATGACTACATCCCTAGCCTTCACCCTTTGCTGAGATTGTTCCCAATAGAAATGTCACTAGTACCCTCCATCAAAGGGAACTATATGGAGTTCGTTTGCCTGCTTTTTGTACTTGTCCACAATACTCTCCAGTTTGACTATACGCTTTTTTTATAGATTTACTATCATGTTCCTACTTCCTTTGAAGAGATCTCTTTAGATTAGTTACCTTGGTCTTCAGTCACTTGTTCTGGTGTTTACTTTCTCATAATTTTCTTTGGCAAGTCCTTAATTGATTTTTCAGCTCTTCCCTGTCATCTTGTCTTCAAATTTTCTCTTCGAGTTGTCGGCTTCATCTTTCTAATATTTTGAAGATATTTTCAAACTGGTTTTTTCTGTACATGTTCTTGATACCCTTTTCTCAGATCTTCCAACTCATAGCATACTATCTTCTGTTCCTTTTCTAACATGTCTACTCGATCTTTTTTAGTATCGGCATCTAGCTTCCACTGGAACTTTTCAACCTTTAACTCTTTCAATCTTTGCCTCATATCCTCTATTTCAGCTTCAAACTCCTTCTTTGCTATCTCCAGCTCAGAGGGAACTGGTTTAAGATGTTTCTCAATAGTCCATGTGTCTTCATGATCTAGTATGGGAATGGTATCATTTTTCCTTAACTTCCACTACTCCATATAGTCTGGAGTAAGCATGTCTTTGGTAGCTACAACATCAGTACGAAATATTTTCTTTTATGACTCAGCTACATCTTTGAATTTCTTCTTGTAATTGTCCTCATAATATGTGAACTCAGATCTAGATATTTCATGTGCGAGTGGGAAAAACTGACATGCCCCATACTGCTGGAGCACTAAGAGCGGAGTGTATCCAATTCCTCTCCACATGCCAAGTAACACTACTACTCATGAATCTTCACATCGGTAAAGAATGTCACTATGAGTTATCCAAGGGGCTCTCCATACGATGTCTTTGTCATGTAGGTGCGTAAATACCTTTACCTACTTTTCCCTTGAGATACATTCTCGTCATATTTGTGTAAAGAAATCCTCCTAAGGAGAATATGTCGTACTGAACCGCCGGTAGGAAATCCCATCAGTTTTCCAGAAATGACTATAAATCCAAACCTAAAGTAGCTATGTGTATCCAATAAAATGCCCTCCACCAATCCTTCTACAGTGGTTTAATGAGCGGAAAGTCTCTGCTAGGATTGCTGGAGCAGGGTTTACTCTTTTAGGTAATTGTTTGAATAGTTCCTCCACAGCTGCCCCAATGTATCCCATATTTTTTAGGAAAATAACCAATCCATAGATACCCAATGCGAAAATATCAATCATCTTCCATTCATCAGGATGATTTTTGATTAATTGTTGGATGTGAATCCAAGCAATTCCTTCTCCCTTCCCTTTGTGTTGGATTTGATCCATTACCCATTTTTCATCAACCCCTATGACATTTGCCAATCCATTTTTGAATGACTGGCTTTTAATGTATTTGATTAGACTCGATCCATTCTGATTCCCTCACAATATAGCAGGGTAGTGTATTCTTCAATTATGGGTACCATGTGTTCTTGGTTGACAGTGAAGCAGATGTACCCAATATTCCAAAATTACACTAGGGCTCAAATTAGAGGTTTATCTATCTTGATATGGAGAATATGTGTGATATCGTTATATCGCTGGTAAAACCTCTGTTTCCTATCATTTTTCCAATTATCCCAAATGTTCTGCAACTCATGAATATCATTATATTTGAGGCTGATGGAAGCGTAGCCAGCCAAGTCTGACACATGGCTATCTTGTAGACTATCTCCCTTTTCCTTTTGAGTCTTTTCTGACCACAACCGTTATCTCTTGCATTATAACACATTTGTTAATTAATACAAACTATTTGTGTTTAACGAACACTTTACGAATCAACATCTCTTTAAATGATGCAAATGATAAAAAGGAAATAAAATAAAAAATAAAGGGAAACAAGTTAGTAAGATAGAAACAATAATTAAAATAATAATGAAAATAGAAATTTCTACCCCTCATGACGTTTACCCCACATGCTTTTTGTACCTACCCGGACATGATTTATATCCCGCATGTTGTTTTTTTGAACAAATCCTAACCGCATATATTTATAATTTGCATGCTTTGAACATTAAAAATAAAGCAAGAAATAAATCAAGTATCTTAAGTTTTGAATGAAGTTTTGGGGTGGGTTCTAATTCATTGAAACATCATAGTTTGGTTCTAATAAAATGTACTCAAGTTTTCCTTGTCGGTGCCCCCTTGGGCTTGTCAGACCCCCAGTCCTAAGCTCATCACAGGCTCTTATAGACCGAGTTAAACTGGAGATGATATATTCCTTTATGTTTGTATGGATAATATATTTACACAAAAACATAATGTATATGAATCTCGAATGTTACTTGCTAAGACTAAACGGAGAATAAATTCTCATCAGGCATCGCTTTTGCCCCCACTTAAAAGAAATAGTTTGGAGCTCGGCTATAGAACTTGAGAATAATGATGTCTTTTAAAACAGGTTCAAATCATTAGAAAATCATTAGTCCAACTATTTATTTGAAAAGAACAATTGAAGTGAAATAACAAGGATCAAATTATAAATTTATAATATAAACTTACATCATTCGCGTATGAAGACAAACGGGAATAATTTTTGGCCTAACTCTCTTACCGTCCGTAATGAAGTCGCCAAGCTATCGTATCCGTCCTTCGTGTGGTCCCAGAATCGAGTTTCGACTTAAATTTATATGATGGAACCACCACCGATCATTTCAAATTAAGATGATCAGACACCTTAACTAACCATTTGTCTGATCTACAACTTACCATAAATTAGTTAGATTCGGGAATTAATTACAGTTAAGGAAGGATTAGTACCCTTGCACTGCCCTTTCGGTACCAATTTGATTTCCCGATTGCCGTAATTATGAAAAATAAAATTTAAAAGTTCGATCTGAATTACTTACCTTTGAAAATTTTAAAATAGCCTAAAAATGTAAAATTAATGTTAAATAAAAATATACTGCAAAAGACTAAAAACAGGTCAGGGTACCAAATTAAAAAAAGAATAACAAAGAACTAAATTTTAAGAAATTAAAAATTCATGGGGTTAAATTAATATTAAATGAAAGCTACAAAACAAGATAAAAAAAATTAAAGTGTCAATTTGCAAAGTATGGAAAATATAAAAATTGAATTAATTCAAAATTCAAAGGCAAAATTACAATAGGTGACCAAAATGAATTACACATCAAAAGTCTAGGGACTACATAAATAATTTAAAATTTTGATAATTATAAAGAGGCCCCCTTTAAATAGCCCAAAAATCTCAAATTTCAATCATTTTCATTCATTTTCAACCTTCTCCTAAAACTAAACCGTTCAAACTATTTCAACTCAAGCCTTCTTCTCTCCTAACCGACCACCCACCAGCCCTAGACAAACGCCTCCGGCCACCACCACTAGTGGTCGGAGGACCTATACCTACCCTAAAATGCTCATTTCGCCACCTCAAAGCCAAAATTGAAACCCAAAACTCCTAAAAAGATCCCAAAAAGAGTATATATACGTTTTAAGTTTTGATTTTTTACCTTTTCCGACGAAGCCTTTTCATTTTTCCAGCGACCCTTTTCTTCTCGATGATATCTCTTCCCTTTCCCGATGATCTTCTATGAAACCTTTGATTTTTTGTGATTTTTCAATGGGTATCTGATTGTTTTGCTAATTTGTATGTTTGCTACTTGATTGCTTTGCTCTATGCTTTCTTTTCATCTTGATGCTTCATTTTGCAGGGTTTATATAGCCCCTGAATATGGTTGTATTTCCCTTAAATCGGGTGACATTACTGGCGTATGGCCTCCACGTATCGTTTAACGATGATCGTTGGGTCCCCTGATATGTTTTGGGTCGTTAGATCAATTGATGTGATCCAATGGTTGCTGTGCTTGCGGCGCACTTGGTTAAGTATGAAACTCTAATGTTTCCTTCCCAACTGGGCTTGCTTTCTGGTGAGGCTTGCTTACTCGGTTGGGCTTCCTCCGGGTTTGCTTGCTGGGTCATGCTTGCATTACTCGATTGGGCTTCATTTTTTTACCCGAATGGACCTTTGGACTCTTTGGACTTGGACCTGAAAAATAAAAATAGCATTAAAAAATAATAATATATAACATAATAATTATAATATATATAATATTATAATATATAGTATATATTATATAATAGAGTACATAAATATTGTATATTATATAATATAAATACTATAATATATATCATATATTACATAATATAATATAATATATAATATAATAAAATAATATATATATATATATATATATAATATACTATATAAATATTATAATATATATACCATAATATATATATAATATATTATATAAAATAATAATATATATAATATAGTATAATACTATAATATAAAAAAAGATCTCATATGAAAATGGGTGTCTACAACATGCTTAGATCGAGAATGTAAAATAAGATTTGCACTTATTGCTATTGCACTCGTGATATCACTCTAAACAATAAGTGTACCAGAGCACGAGATCCTCATATCTGTTAGCAACGCCTGAAGCCAAACAACATCAACTGTGACATCAGTTAATACGCGATATTCAACCTCAATAGTCGATCGAGAGACTGATCATTGCTGCTTAGAACCCCATGATATGAGATTACCTTCAAGAAAAATACAAAATTCGGATATCAAACGCCGATCGTCTAAATGACTCATCCAATCGGACATCAGCAAAGGCTTCCACATGCCTAGATATATAAATTCGTCCCTTAGGTGCTAGACATAGATAACCCTCATGTTGCACACTATACCCAAGGAATGTGCAAGCTTGTGATCGGAAAACAAACTTGTGAGATTCAAAAGGAAAAAGAAAAGGGAAACATCGATAGCCAAACACACGTAAATACTCATACTGAGGGTGTTTGCCAAACAATTTGCTAAATGGAGATGAACCATGAAGCACTTCTATAGGATATCTATTAATTAGGTACACAACTGTGATCACAACATAAGACCAATATTTTAATGATAATGAAGCTTGAGCAAGTAAATTAACGATCGTGTCAACGATACGTCGATGTTTATGTTTAACAATGTAATTTTTTTGGAACGCGTGAAGACACATGAGTTGGTGTCATATCCCTTCCTCTTGAATCACTTTAGTGAATGGTCGAAACTCATCACCCCAATCACTTTGGACCTCTTTGATCTCTCGACGAAACTACACATGAACCATAAGTTGAAACAATTGAAAAGCATATAAAGCTATCACCTTAGTGAATGAACGTTCATTGTTAAATGATTAAGAATCTTTGAACATATATTATCTTGTAATCATCCTAGATTTATGAAAAAAATAATCTAAAGGTTAAATATAATGTATTCTTGTCGATAGAGTTTTTTATATTTAATTCTAGTCATTTTAGTTTATCTTTGATCCTAATATACACGTATAATTTTTATAATAATAAAAATAATATGTATAAAAATATAATAAAGTGAATTTTGCCTAATTATACAGACTCTACTAGTTGAGTTAGTTTAATCTCTAAAGTGCTTTCCCTCCCTTCTTTGAATTCATTTGGTAAAGAAACTCGCGAGTTGGTGGTATTGAGCGTTTGTTTTTGACCTTTTTGGTTGACCTTTGTTTGCAATATTACAAATAAATAGCTCATGGATACGGGATTTCAGCCGAACTCATTGAGTTGCAATATTAATTCGTGGACTCACCGATCGAGACAATTGGTCAATTTTCCTTTTTCTTTATTTTTATATTTTTCAAATAATTTCAGTAATTAAAATGAATATTATTTTCGTTAAAGGTTTCATATTCAAACAGTTAAGTCTACAAAATGTATTACTAATGAGTAAAAAAATTATAGATAATTGCTATTTTGTGATCACTTTAAATTATTCAAAAACAATTTTCAACAAAAAGATAGTTAAGTTCAATTAGATCTCTTCATTTGTGAATAAGGTCGACAAAGCTCCCATCGCTATACAATTGTAAAGAAACTTCAAATGAAGTGCTTTTGAATAAGTCCATGCACCGCCAACTTCTTTTCTCACACATACTTTTATCAGTATTTCACTATCAACTAACACGTAAAATATGGTCAAAAATATGAATTATAATACAAACAAGAAAAATATGATAAACAATAAAACATGACCAGACCCTCAATTTGGAGAGTGCATGTCCTGCCAGACCTACAATTTGCACCACTGACTTTATTGAACAAGAATTTGACCAGATTATCAATTTTTTTAACTGACCACTGATATTTAATCTATTGATCAATTAATCTAGATCGAATATTACAGAGGCAATGATGACCCTTTCAATCTAATTTGTTTTATTTGTAAACGTCGTGATTTGAACTCCTAATCTTACTTAAAAAATATAATGTCTTATCTCAATAAATCAACCGTTTATTGATATATTATCATTTTTAATTGGCTAGATATATGAGAATATTATGAAGCTTTTTGTTTTATGGAGTAATATTTATTAAGGAGGGGAGACCAATAGTTGAAATGGTTGACTTAATTACCCTCACCTGTATTTAAAAATAATAGTACAAATTAATCGAACCAATAAATTTAAGTTTTATTATTATTATCACTATTTAAAAATAATAGGGGGTAACATGAAAGAAGCAATGTGAATGAGATTCAGAGCTATTTGTAGAGAAGTAGCTACTTTTCTGCTTTGTCTTATTAAAGATATATTTCCACATGCTGATAGATCTAATGTCCTTGGCCCCATCAAACCCCATGTATTTAAGCTCCTTTCCTTTAATATCTATTTTCTTTAAATGTTTTACCCTAAATTTTATAAACTAATAGGGTTCGCTAATAATTTTAAATATATTTATTAAAATTTAATCCATCAAGTGAATTCAGTGGTTGAAGAGAGTATTTTTTTTCTCTAACATTTTTGAGTTTAAGTAGTTATGTTTGTGGTTGTGTATGTATTATCAATAATTAAGAAAGATTCGGAACATACGTTACGTAATAAACACCCTAAACTATTAAAAAAATATTTATTAAAAGTTAGTTAATACATCATTTATCATAATACATTATTTATCATAATACATTTGTATTAGATGTAATAATTCATCACAATTTTAATGCATTGATTAAGTAAAATCATCGTTTTAAAGATTGAATGACCAAGCATTTTATTAGAAAACTTTGATATTAATAGGTCTTCACTTATTTGATTAATGTGTGCCTTTACATTGCTTTGAAATTAATAATCTTAATGAAGATAAAGAAATTACAGTTTGATGAACACAATGAAACAAGAAGGTTGGTAGAAACAAGAAGGTTGGTAGAAACAATTAAGAAGGAAAAGCACCAAACATGGAGGGAACGGAATCAATAGAATCGATGATCGACTTAAAACTAAGCTTTGGAATGGAATTTCCATTAAAGCAAATAATGACAACCCGGCAGATTTCACATTACATCTCATCTCGGAGTTAAAAACATGAAAACGTGGAGGGTCAGGCAAAAATTAAATCATGGAACAAAGTACAAGGCAACCGTCAGATCACCGTCAACCGACATTATATTTTCTTTTTGTTGTTTCTCTTTACAAGTGTTGAGATCTAAAAAAATAGTAAGAGGGTGTTTGGATCAAGGAATGTGAGATTCTCATAAAAATGAAATTCACATTCCCATGTTTGGTTGGTCGGGAATCTCATTCCGGGTAATGTTTTATTACCAATAGTAGATTATTTGGGGTATATTAACGAGTATGTCATTACCTCTCTTTTCTTAGGTATTGTTGGATTATCGGCGTTTTGGATTAAAATGCCCTTAATTTTTTTCTTTCAAAAATATCATTTTTCTATCACTGAATAATAAAAATTATACGAAGGTTAAATTATAAATTTATCCTTAAATTTTTTTAGATTTACAAAAAAAAATCTATAATTAAAATTTTATATGAAGTTTAGGGATTAAAATAAAATTTTACCCTTTCATTAAACCTTTTTATATTTTTAATTTTGTAAATATATATATATATATATATATATATATATATATAAATTTATGAATTTAAATTTTTTAAAGAAAATATATAAATATTTTTAAATTTGTTAAAAAACAAATATATAATAATGACAATTTGATTAAATATAAATTTCAATAATCTTTTATTCCTTTAACCAAATACGGTAATCTTACATTCCTGCTAAACCAACCAAACACAAAATACAACATTCTTAGCAATCTTATTCCCTGATAATTTTACATTATCACTGATAATCTTATATTCTGTGAACCAAACGCACTCTAAATATTTATGAGTGAGAGGGTTCGAATACCTAGAGATTCTACAACGAAAATAACAAGTTAGTACCAAGTGTATAAATGGTTTTTTAATTATTGATGATGCGTAAGTATTTAAATTTAATATATTTGAGAAGAATAAAAATATCTTTTAGCACTGAGAACCCTTGATAAGTATATAAATAGTTTTTAAATTTGATGATTTTAGACTATTTTTAGGAAAAACGTATAGATGTTCAGATTTATTTAAAAGTTTAATTTAAAAAAAATAAAGATTTAGAATTATTGATTATTTGAGATTAGGTATGATCTTATAATTATAAAAAAAATAAAAAAGAAATAAAAAATATTTTAAAAGATAATTTTTAGATATATAATTAACCAGAGATTAAAAAATAAAACGGGTTCAAGAGTCAATTATGTTTTGAAAAAATTAACATCCCACAATGCCTAATTTGGTACATAGTTGATTATAGGCTTAAATGCACTATTGCCTTCTAAACTATACATTTTTTACTGAGTTACCCTTAAATATTTTTCGGGACGTTTTGCTCCCTCAAGTATAAATCGTTACCTCATTTACCTCAAACCGTTGACTCCATTAAAAAATATGAGTGTAAATTATATATTTAGTCACTCTACTATTTATGTGGTTCTGTTTGAGTTACCCAATTTTATTTTCTTCAAAATCATAACTAAACTT